TGGGTTGAGCGTCCAACTCTTGGTTTCAGTTCAGGTCATGATCTCATGGTTCCTGGGATCCAGCCCCGCATCAGGCTCTACACTGACAGCGTGGAGCCTGCTTTGGGGTTCTCTCTTGCCCTCTCTCTTTCTCCCTCCCCTGTTGCACTCTCTCTCTCAAAATAAATAAACATTAAAAAAAAGGAGAGAGAGAAATTAGTCAAGTTGAACATGCTTATTCAATATAGTGATAATTTATTATATGAGTGTTGCCTTAAGAAACTCTTCCATATTCCAAGTTTCTAAAGATAGTCCTCTGTACTTTCTCAGAAGTTTTTAAAATTTTGCCTTTTGCATTTAAATATTTATCATGGGGGCACCTGGGTGACTCAGTTGGTTAAGCATCTGACTTCGGCTCGGGTCATGATCTCATAGTTTGTGAGTTCGAGCCCTACATCGGGCTCTGTGATGACAGTTCAGTCTGGAGCTTGCTTCAGATTCTGTGTCTCCCTCTCTCTCTGCCCTTCCCCCTGCTCACACTGTTTCTTTCTCTCTCTCAAAAATAAACATTAAAAAAATAAACTAATATAAAATATTTATTTCGCCTGCAATTTATTTTATACATGAAGAACTCATTTTTCAGATTGTGGTTCAAATATGAAATATCAGGGGAAACTTCCTGAGAATTTATTCTGCTTTTCCTCAGGCACATCAGTACCCCAAGATGACAGACATAATATTAACTTATCAGTAATTAGATCATGGTGTCATGTGTATTGTGGATTTTTATATAGAACTATATAGGTGTTTATTATTATTTTTACATAAGCAGTTTTTAAAATGCTTTTTATTTTAAAAAATTGCGCATAGTAAAACACCATTCTCAGACAGTACTATGTCATAATATGCTATTAATATGGGACTCTCGTTAAGCAAAAAAAGTCAAAATAATTTTAATAAAAATAACTTCTAGGGGCGCCTGGTTGGCTTAGACGGTTAAGCAGCTGACTCTGGATTTCGGCTCAGATCATGATTTCACGGTTTGTGAGTTCAAGCCCTACAGTGGGCTCTGTGCTGACAGTGTGAAACCTGCTTGGGTCTCTCTCTCTCCCCTGTGCACACGTGCCCCTCTCTCTCAAAAGAAATGAACCTTTTTTAAAAAAAATAACTTTCCTGGCAAAACTGTATGTCTTGGCAAGATTATCTTGCTAGTTTTTAAAATTATGTATTTTCAAAACAAAGGATAGTAAAAAATGTAAAAAATTGATTTTAAATGAATTTAAAGTTTCAGTACTCATCTTGCTATCAAAGATGGGTATCTTTTTATCTTAGTCACCCACTCAACTAACTTCATCTCAAACTAGAATTTCTGAACCTTCAGAGATTTACCTACAGTAACAGTCCTAATGAAAGGACACCTTTTCATATATGAAAGGACACATATCAGCCAAAATTTCACCCTAACAACTAAACATAGCACCCAAGACATATATAATTGGGATAAGCTTTTTAATTAAAAAAAAAAAAAAAAATTGAAGTTCTAGTGCTGAATTACAATGACATGTTCTTATAAAATAAGAGGCAAATGAGATAATATTTAAGTTCTCTTTTATTCCAATGCTCTTAAAAATGAACTTATTGGCTGCCTAAAAATAATAGCATGTATGCATCACCATGTTTTTGGTAATCATTTAACTCAGGTTCATGTTTTTGGATCTCCAACACTTTATGAATTATTGAAGAACTTTTACTATACCTCAAATGAAACTAGTATAATCAATAAAAAAATGCAATCATTTTAGTCAATTATTCCATGAATTTCACACAAAACTATATTTAATACCTAAGATTATCATTCTAATTTAATAATATTGTATAAGTGTGACCAAAACAATTAAAAAAAGTTTCCTGTCTTTCTAGGAAATTTAAATCAATATTCCCATGGTTCCCAAAACTGGTACCTAAGCACACAAGTCACCCTTGCAAAAATTTACAGGGTTCTAAGGGATGTTTTATTTAGTTATTTATTTTTTATTTAAAACAAAATTTTTTTTTTAAACATTTATTTATTTTTGAGACAGAGACAGAGCATGAACAGGGGAGGGTCAGAGAAAGAGGGAGACACAGAATCCAAAACAGGCTCCAGGCTCTGAGCTGTCAGCACAGGGCTCGAACCCATGGACTGCGAGATCATGACCTGAGCCGAAGTTGGACGCTTAACTGACTGAGCCACCCAGGCGCCCCTTATTTTTTAAAAAATGAATGTAGTTTATTCCATTCCAATATAGTACATTTATATATTAGGATTAAATGGGTTTTATTTAGTAAAAGTAACATAAATTAACCAAAAATTTACGAATTTCAATAGTTTCATGTTATTTAGTGTATCATACAAAATAATTCCTTAGTATTTAATGATTAACTTTAAATGTGTATGTATGTGCTTATGATACCTCTAATATAGAACATTTGTATACGTGTAGAGGATTTCTGGAAGGATTCACAAAAAAAATTGCTAACTGTGATTATCTCTGGAAATTAATGGCCAAAATTTCTAATGGTAGTAAACTTTTAGTTTTCATTCTATCTATATCTGAACTCTTTCTATGTGTATTTGTTAATTTTTCACTATAAAAACTTACCAAAGGATGTTTTAAATTTCTAAGAGAAACAGTGATATCTGCCAAATACCTTATGAACTATTACTACTACATTGCTTGGGGCGCCACGAAAAGAAATGTTGATACATATCGATTCAACCTGAGAAAGTCTGGGAACTTCTGTAATATTTCATTTCAAAGTAGGTTTCAAAAATAACCTCTTTATTTCTTTTGAAATGGGGAAGAACAAGTATCCAATTAACCTGAGATATATTTGTCAAGTTCTGAACTAGAATTAAAAAGTAACTTACCAATCTAAAGGCAAAAAAAAACAAAACAAAACCCTATTTGACATGAATTAACTTCTCAAATTATATTTTTATGACTTTCATGGTATGGTACTAGGATTAAAAGAATGGAAATATACCCCATCTCTCTATGTAAAGGACAAATTATTATTCAAAAAGAAGGTAATTTTGTAATTATTCTTTATTCAATATTTTTTTCAGCGATAGCTCTTTACAATTAGGTGTTCTATTCATTGGCCAAATGGCCCCGTATTTCCCTGACCCTGTATCTCAGTATAATTGGTTCCATCCAGGGTCCCATTCCCATCTCAGAAATAAGATAGGAATTACCTGTATTTCTTCTTTTTTTGTCCCGAAAGTCACAAAATCCTTAAGTCAGAGGGACCTTAGGATAAGCTGATCTGTAAAAGGACTGCTGAAAGAAGAGAGAAAGAAAACAATTTCTAGGGGACAGAAAGCCCTGGTTCTGAGGAGGGAAGGCTGAGAGTCAAAGAAACTGAGCTCCGGGACAAACTCTGTTTCTAACATTAATCACCACCGGAAGGCAAAACCCAACTTGGATAGCTTTCCTCATTTGTAAAACAAAAAATAGAATTTGCATTTGAATCTTGTACTAGGTGTCATGAGGTCAAATCAGAAATATAGATTCCACAGACTATACTGAAGATTCTCTTCTAGCTCAGTAGGTAGGGTTGAAGATCACAATCTGTGCAAGGGGACCTGGTGCACAGCCAGATTTGAGAGCTGTGAGAGATGCTCTATGTTGACTTACCCAAGGCCTAGTTGATACCAACACATTTCTTTCTCACCTGCTTCTACCATGAAGGCTACAAAGCTAAATGTTCATTTTCCAATCCTCCCTAAAATTAGGGACTGTCTTTTAAAACAGCTATGGCAAATGATATAAAAAGTCTGTCAGTACCACCACCCTATCTTCTTTCCTCTCCCTTCTTTCTGCTTTTAACCAAGACTAGATGTCTACAGATACAGAAGTTCAACTGTTTCTATAAACCAATGTGCAAAGGACGGCAGAAAAGACACTGAGGACATCTGGATCCACTATATCTACCTGGACTTCTTGTTATCTGAGAAAAATACCACTTTTGTTTAAACCACTATTAGTTGCTTACAGCCAAAAGTGTTTTTACATAACACAGCAGTGAAAGAACAGACGATCTCAAGTATACAGTTCAGGCATAATATTCCAAAGTTCTAATTTTAAATAATCTAATTGTCCAGGGAAGGATACTTTTCTACATCAACTTTAAACTATGGCTCTTTGGACTCTGATATACAATTTAAAGATACTGTTCAGAAAACTACCACATCTTGACCAGTTCTCATTCTTTACATACATTTTCATTCAGTTCAAGAGCATATTTTGTGAAGTTCAAGCTCACAAGTTGAATTAAAATGAGTATATCCTATGGAAACCCCACACTAAAATGACATGTATGTAATTTTCAAACTAATAAATTTAACCATATCTTGATTTAGGATGGTTAGAAAGACTACAAGAGTATTCTTCATGTATCTTTCTTCCTCTTCCCCATCCTTCATCCTAATTTACCAATAGGGAATAGAAAACATAAGCTTTAGTATGTATTCTGACATATTACATACATATATATTTTTTCTGTGAGCATTGCTAACAGGGCTTCACTTGGGAAACCGGTGTGGTATTCTATAGTGAGTAGGGCTCTGGCTGAAATAGTAACTGTCCCAAGGTTGAGCGGTATAAAAAAGAAAGTAGTGGCTAACAAAGCATAAATCCAAATGGATCCTATTTTGCCCTAGACCTAATTCATACTAAAGACAACTACTGCAGAGGCATAAAATGTATCAACAAACATTGCCTGAGATCCCAATCATGACAAAGAACACACCTATGTATGGTAGATGGTTGGGTGGCTGATTGTGAATAGGTGAAGGAAAAGGGTTCGGGGAAATGTTGCAAAGTACCACAATAAATAAGGCAAATAACCTGCAAAGGTGAGCTAATTTCCAATTTTTCCATTAGGCAATATTATCTTTAACCTTCATGCAAATAAAAACCTGACTGGAAATGCACTGATTTTCAGCCATGCTTTGGTGTACTTTTCATTCAACCTACCAGTATTCGTTGGGTTGCTGTTGGCTGTAGCCAGGGAGCCACCGTGGTTTCGGAGGAGATTATCTTGGGTTGACGGAAGGCCTGAAGCTGACCACGAGAGAGTATTGCATCCTGAAAGACTCTGCTGCTGGTGGTACTGGTGTGATGGTGGAGGTGGAAGCAGTGATGAATGACTGATAGCTGTACTGTGACCAGAAAATGAATTATCTCTAACCGGCCGGACAGTCGGAGCATTCTGTGAGGTAAACATTTGTTGCCCATATGGATCACCAGCAGGCAGAGAGGGATATGAAACACTAGGATACGCAGCATTAGAAACAGTTGACATAGCATAGTGACCACAAGTAGAGGGAAATCCCTGAGAAGCAACAGAAGAGTTGGCAGAGTACATGGCTGGACTACTGTAGTGATTCACAAAAGGGGAGTACGGCTGGGAGGCACTCGTATGCAAATGGGATGCTGATGAAGCGGCACCCTGGAAAGGTCCCGGAGTGGATCCTACAATATGAGGAGCAGGAGGACCCCTGCCATACATCTGCTGTGCTCCTGGTTGTTGGTTTGCTGTGTTAGGAGTCACCACATTTTGTGTCGGTACAATATAGAGACCAGAGTAGTAATCACCACATTGGCTATCCAATGGCAATGAGGTCATTTTCCCAGGTCCTTGAGGATAATGTCCTGAGGGAGCAATATAGTTTTGAGGATGCAATCCATACCCTGATGGAACATGCATTTGATTCTGTGCTGGACCTGAAAAAGAAAAGCAAACATTTATAGGGATTGGCAAGGAGATACTAGTTTTTAAACACAGTTCTCATGTAAATATTGCCATAATCCCAAATTGTCACAAAAGATATACTATTATGACCCACTGTGGTAGCTAGCCTCCAAGATGGCCCCCAGTGATCTCTACCTCGTGGTATTGATACCCTTGGGTGTGAATTCACATCCTCCCACAATATACTAAGACTGATCTGCGTGACCAATAGCACATTAAGCAGAGGTAATGATTTATCGCTTCCAAGATTAGCCTAATCTTGAGTGCTAGCTCTCTCTTAGATCATTAAGTTTGAACAAAGCTGCCGAATTGTGAGGAGCCTATGGAAGAACCCATGAGGTAAGGTACTGAACTCTGTGCCCAACAGCCAAGGGGAAACTGGGGCCTGCCAACAACCACATCAGTGAGTTTAGAAACAGATCCTTCATACTCAGTAGAGTCTTGAGAAAAGTACAGCTCCAAATGATAGCTTGACTACAATCTCATGACATCCAAAGCCAGAAACTACCCAGCTGCTCCCAAGTTCATGTCCTTCAGAAATGATGAGATTAAACATTTGTTGTTTAAGTTGCTAAATTTTGGAGTGTTTTGTTAGACAGCAATAGATAACTACCATTCCCAGTATGGAAGAAGTACAAACCTTTTTTATTAGCTTTTTTTTTTTGTTTTTTGTTTTTTTTTAACTAAAAAACTAACACTAGATACCCAATGTAAAAAAATTTTTTTTCAAACAGTGAAGAATATAAAATAAAAAGTACCACTCCTTTTCCTGGTAGCTGATATCCTTCTTCCTACATGTAGCTATACTTAATGGTTTCTTGCGTATCTTTCATGACACAGTTCTGTAATTTGCTTTTTTTACTAAATATCCTGAATATCCTTCTGTGTTAGCATATATAAATCTTCACTATTCTTCTAAAAACCTATATAGTATTTCATTACGGAGATGTAATATTATTCACTAAATCTCCTTTGATGAATATTTATTTCAGGGAGTAAACTAATTTATATTTATGAGGTCAACCTCTGTGATGAATCTGGAGGTTCAAAGGGTTTGTACTTTTAAAATTGACCATTACTGCCAAATATCTCTTCAAAAAGTCTATCAATTTATACTTCCTATGAATAATGCTTAAGAATGCCTCATCTTCCCAACACTAACATTTCAATCTTGCCAACCTGAGAAACATTTCAGGTTGCATACTTAACTTTGAGTAATGCTGAGAATCTTTCCAAGTATTTCTTAGCTACTTAGGTGTCTTTCTCTGTTATTTGTCCTTTTGTCACAGAGTTGTGCTTTCCATAATGATTTATAAGTGTTCTTGTATATTAAGAAGTTTAACCAGGGCACCTGGGTGGCTCAGTCAGTTAAGCGTTGGTTAAGTGTCCGACTTTAGCTCAGGTCATGATCTCGCAGTCCATGGGTTCGAGCTCCACATCGGGCTGTGCTGACAGCTCAGAGCCTGGAGCCTGCTTCAGGTTCACTGTCTCCTCTTTTTCTGCCCCTCCCCTCCTCATGCTCTGTCTCTCTCTCTCTCTTGAAAAATAACATTCAAAAATTTTTTTTTCCCTTGGGTTACTGTTTCCCTTGGGTTACTGTTTTTTTGACTTTGTTCATGGTGCCCTTTGCTATAGTTTCTCTATTATTATATAGTAAAATCTTTCTTTCATGCTTGATAAATTTTTAAGTCATACTTAATAGAGCCCCATTCTAATATTATAAAAATATATACCTGTGTTTTCCTCTACTACTTAAAAAATTTTTTTTTTAATGTTTATTTATTTTTTTGACAGAGAAAGAGACAGAACATGAGCGGGAGAGGGGCAGAGAGATACACAGGGATACACAGAATCTGAAGCAGGCTCCAGGCTCTGAGCTGTCAGCACAGAGCCCGAGGCGGGCTTGAACTCACAGACCTCGAGATCACGACCTAAGCTGAAGTCAAAGTTCAAGCGACTGAGCCACGCAGGCGTCCCTCCTCTAATACTGTTAATATTTCCATTGACATATATTCATATTTTTGATCACTACAGAATATATTTTATATCAATACCATTCAAATTAACATTAACCTCAGTATTACTTTTATTACTTTTTTTAAAATTTAAATCCAAGTTAGTTAACATTCAGCACAGTAATTTCAGGAATAGAATTTAGTGATTCACCACTTACATATAACACCCAGTGCTCTTTTATTAATATTACAAGTATTATTAAACATATTACATTATGTGCCATTCACTGTCCTTTGAAGTAAACAGTTGTAATTATACCTACTTCACAAATTAGGCAAAAAGAAAAAACAAAAAAAAAGACTAAACTCTATACTGGTAAGGCATTATCGATCAAGAGAAGACCCACATCAGAGTTAGATAAGTCTGTTTAAATATCTATCCACTTAATAAATGATGTGGCTCATCTATCCTATAGGATCTGAAAACAGGGAAATAATCATCAGTATATCCAAGCTATTCAAATGCCATTCTTTTAAAGCTAACAGGAATGTTGTACATGCTAATGTTTACCAGAAGTGAACTACCTACTTCTGGTGAAAAAAGGAAACCTTTTTCACTTCTCAGCCCATCAAAGAAAGTTACTTACTTTGAGGGGATGTGAAGGTGTGAATAGCTAATTATATGTTGATGCTTACCAATCCTTATTCAATATCAAGATCCAAATGTTATGAATATATGAAAAGTATGTGAAGATAATCTGGTTCAAATGATAAATGAATCAAGACTCCTTTCGAAGTAAAACGCTTCCTTTCAAATATTTTAAATCAATTTTCAAAAGATTACTTAAAAAAATAAATAAACATAAGATCAGCTTAAATGAAAAGAAAATGGTATCCAGGACAAGTAAAATATTTTTAAAAATTTTATCTTACTGTGACCTAACAAGAAACACATTTTCTTCAATTTTACTTATTTATTTAGAGTGTGAGCACGCATAAGT